TAACCAATACATATATAGCCACCAATGAGGTTTTAGTCTTCTCACCTTCCAGTCTTTAAAACCAAATGTTGAGTTTTACAACTTCTTATCCTGAAAGCTGCCTGTTACACGCTTCACGCATGAATGCAAGATTTCCTATCTTTCTTCTTTCTTCTTCTTTTTCTTCGTACCAGGTGTTTGGACAGTCATATATTCAAAACTTCAATTTCTCAAATATGTGTCTTTTTTCTTTTTTTTTTTTTTTTGGTATTAAGTAGCCGGTGTTCCTGTTAATTGTGGCACGGGTTGAGGAAGGGATTGACTTTACTTGTTAAGCTTTTTTTGGAACGGGGGTGTAATAGAGTCGTTCTTGTGCACAAGGATTGGAAAACAATTTTGAGAAATTGTTTAACTTTGGCTTGTGTCATTGCAGGATGACATTATTGCTTGTGCTCCAGGATGTGGGAAAACCACATTATTGTCAGCGCTCTCTGGCAAACTAAGTCATTCTCTCCAGGTACATTATCTTCTTTGTTTTTCTTCTGTCTGATTCAGTTCTCTAAATTTATTTATTTATCCTCATCTTTCATGCGCAGGTTTCAGGGGAAGTGTCCTACAATGGTTCAGACTAGAGAGTTTGTTCCTCAGAAAACATCAGCTTAATAAGCCACATGATCTCATATTCCAGAGCTGACGTGAGGGAAGCAATTGATTTTTCTGCACGTGTCAGGGTACGGACACCGAGCTGGTAAGCACATTGGGTGCTCAAATGATGATTTTGATGTAATTTTCTTGTCATATTAAGCTTTCAAACGATATTAATCAGTATTTTTCTGTAATGAAGAGATATGATGGAAGTCAGTAAAAGAGAGAAAGAGGCAGGGATTGTACCGGATCTTGATAGATGCTTCATGAAGGTACCATATAGCATTTTGAATGTTTTCCTTAGTATCTCCTTGATTTCTTAAATGTTGGACACATATAGTTATCCGTGTAAATCTTAAGTTTGTATTTAGAGTATAATGTGAAGACTATTTACTAAAATCTTGCTTATATTGAGACTAGTTACCAAGTGAAATGAATTGTTTAGATTTCAAAAATCAGTAAGTTTTGTTTCTTCGTTGCAATGCTTTTGTCAATCTATTGCTCATACAGATGATTTAAAACAAATGCTGGTTAAGAATAAATAGATACTTTCAAATTTTTTATGCAACTCGATTTTCTTCATTGATCAATCTTATATGTAATAGCCATATTGAGTCTGACTCTGTTAGTCAATTGTACTAATAACAGATAGTAATATTGCAGTTTTTTTTCTTTTTCTCTTTTTTTTTCTGTACATTAAACCTTCCTTCACTGCTCTGGACCCTGTTGGTAACGAAACTGATATTGTTATTACAGGCAATATCACAGAAGGACTAAGTACAGTGCAACAGACTACATTTTAAGGTAATTTCAGCAAGTATAATCCTGCTTCTTCTTTAAACTTACTACATTGCATTTTTTGCATGGTATATTTTTCTGTGCGTTTTCTTTCAGATTCTGGACTTGACTCTGTTGGAGATGCTGAGAAGAGGTATCTCTGGAGGTCAAAAGAAAAGTTGACTACAGTAGTATTCTAGCCAATGACATATATAGATATATGCATGATTTAGCTTTTACTTGAAAACGATCAATGTTATTCTAGATTTATCTTCTGGTTCTGTTACGTAGGAGAGTTGATTGTGGGGCCACAGAGCTCTTTTCATGGATGAAATATCAAATGGCTTAGACAGTTCCATCTTTTCAAATAGTCTCCTTCCTAAAACATTTGGTGCATATTACTTGATGGTGTTATGGCCGAGAATACAGAAAGAAAAAAACTGATGAAAGTATGGAAAAGGCTGAGTTTTTTCATTTAGGCTGATATATATGCAACAATATAACCAAATCATCCACTGTTACAACAACTACAGCAGAGATTTCATATTTGAATTTAAATTCTAACAGCCACAAACATACTCAAATAACACATTTACATGACTTAATCACACCTAAGCCAGTCACTAACATGCACCAAAAACTGCAGCTATACACTCATACCAACGCAGAAACAGAATTTAATTGGAGCCAAAATATTCAACCTGCAAAACTGGAAATTTGATTCTTTCCAGCAAAGTATTACTGCATCAAACCACCTCCTTGATACCTTTGTTGAAACACCAAGTTTGAGCCTATCTTCAACTTGGCTTTAGGCAATGCTTTGGTCATAATGTCAACATTGATTCTCACCCCTGCATTGAATTAAAGGAACTTCACCATTATACTTAGTTTCCCTCACAACATGAAATTTTATCTGATATGCTTGGTCTTCCGTGAAAGAACTGGATTTTTGGCCATGGCAACAGCAGACGGGCTGTCACACAGATTGGAGTTGAACTTCCTGGTTTGCTTCAATCTGCTAGAATTTTTCCTACCCAAATGGCTTGTGTCACAGCTGCTGCAGCAAATATTACTCTGCCCTCCGCTGGTACTGAGCCACATATCTCCTGTTTTCTTGGAAGCCAACTATTGCACCAGAGTTATGTAGAATACATAACCTAGGTGCTTTTCATGTCATCAAAAGATCCTCCCCAGTCACTTCGGTATAGCCCGTCAACTTCAATTTTCAGACTTTTGAACCAAATGCCAAGCCTGGAGCTCCCTTTCACATATCTTAACACTCTCTTGGCTGCCCTAATGCACTCACTTGGACTACGCTCATGAACCTGAATTAACTGGCAGCAAACATGATGTCTGGCCGTGGTGGCATGTTAAGTACAACAAGCATCCATCAGCTTCTAAACAGCCCCTTATCCATTCTCATTGCACCATCATCCTTACTTAGCTCAATTGGAAACCTGGAGTGTCTACAGGTTTGCAACTTTCCATGCCAAACTTTCTAAGGACTTCATTTGCATACCTCTCTGCACACAAAAATTCCATTATTGACTGAATATTTCCATACCAAGAAATTAGGACTCCGTTGACTCATATTCTACCCTATTCCCAATCCTATTCCCAAATATTGTTTGGCACATTTTTGAGAATATTAGTCTATTTTTAATTACTTTTAGACCCCTAAAGTTTATTAAGTCATAAATACCCTAGAAAAAGTTTAAAAATTAACAAAAACCCCCCACCCACCATATTGCCAAATTCCGGCAACCATCGCCGGTGGGTAGCCAAATCTGCACAACGGTCTACACCACCACCAAAAAAGTCGGTAATTCACTGATCTGGCCGCATCGCTTCCAAAGATATGCTGTCTGTTGACTGACGCCAAAGATCTGTCGTGACCGTCAACGACCCATATCTTTGTCGTCACGACGGCCAAAGATTGGACGTTTGCACCGCTCGACAGCCAGATCTGGGCCAAAAAAACTGACTCCCCGGCCCGGCCGTAGATCTGGCCGGAAAAGGCCATACAACCGCCCACCTGCCAGATCCACATTCTGTGGTGTAACGCAATTTTTCGCGCATTGCGTGCGGTGTGGCCGAATCTGCACTGGTAGTGGTGGGGGTTTTTTGTCATTTTACAAAATTTTTATATATTGGGGTTTTTAGTTAAATTGCAAACCTAGTGTTTTTTGTGTAATTTGAATTTTACCTCGTAATACTCCCCCATTCAACTATCCAATTATTCCCAAAATCCTACCAAAATAATAAAACAAACGTACCCATGTCCTTTCGCCCAAATCTTTATCCTCAATTCCCTTCATTGACTTGTCTTAAACTGACTCAATTGTTCTACATTGTTCCCTCGATCAGCTTCATCCACATACAAAGAGACCACAATCAAGTCACCTTTATCTCCTTAACATAAGTGTATGCTCATTTTGACTTCTAACATATCCTAGGCTGCTTAGAATAGTCATTTATGCGCTGTACCAGGCTCTAGGTGCTTGCTTCAGGCCATTAAAGCCTTCTTCAGCAGGCCACTTTATTTTCTTCACCCTTGACTTGATAACTTCAGGTTGCTCCACAAAATGAATTGCCTCACATCCACCACTTTAGGAATGTCGATTTAACATCAAGCTGGGAAATTTTCTAGCCAAATTGAGCTGCCAAGCAAGAAGTAACCTTATTGTCATGCCTGCCACCAGAGCAAATGTTCAGACAAAATCCACCCCATGCTGCTGTGCAAACCCTTAATCACAACCTTGCTTTTGTTTGTGACTATACCATTAGGATTAGTTTTTTCTCGTAGATCCACTTCACTTGGATTCTTTCCTGTTTCCAAGGCTTCAACAAGTTTCAGTGCTATTTTTCTCTATCCTTTGACATCTCTTCCTATGCTTCCTCCAGTTTGTGACTTACAGCTTTAGCGCATACTTTTTGGTTCAAGCACAACCATATTACTTCTTCATAACTCAGCCAAGGTCTGGTCCCCTAACCAAAGCTCCATCCTCTTCAGTTTCAGCTTCTTCAATTAGACTCCTGTTGCTACTCGTTTGCAGTCTCATCAATCTTCTTATCCTCCTATTCAGATTCTCTCTCATCAACCCTACATCCTTGTGAATCACAATCCTTTAGATTCAGGAATGAAGACTTAGAGCCTTTGACTGATTATTGTAATGACCAAAGATTACAAAAGTGACCCTCATGTATGATTTGTTTGTTCTTCTGGCATATGCAAATTCCAAATTACTTATGCCCTTAGTTCCTGGATAACTTAAACCAAAACATAAAATTCTTGGATAACTCAGAGAAGTAGACTGCTAACTTCTAATCATGTTAAAGTTTCTTGCTCTCTCTCTCTCTCTGTGTTTTTGTTCGTGAAGCACTATTGCATAAAAGTATATACCTTTTTAGTTTATTAAAATAAAGAATTTGCTTGAAATTTTATACCCAGTTCTGATTAGATTTAGGTGGAAGTCTATGTAAGTCATTAATTCTTAAAGCAATAGATGACCTCATGTTTATGCCGATATTGTTTGTTATTGCATCCTGTTGTTATACATGATTTCTTCTGATACTTGTGTATATCTTGTGCTTCTTTGATGGTGCTGATACGAGTTGTCATGTTCAGGTGGGAATAGAGGCTTGGAAGAGTTCCCGTGACAGTACAGGTATGACACCAAATGATTATGCATGCATGAGAGGTCAGTACTCCTATATTAATCTAGTCCAAAGAAAAATCAACAAGAAATCTGCGGAAAGTGGGCATGTCGTCCTAGATATGCCTGGTGATCATTTGGACTGCATGACCAAGCAGAAACCATCAGATGGGCTTAAATTGTCTGGGGTTGTTAGCTTCCAGACTGAAAAGATTGAAACAAAAGTGAAGCTGCAACATTGCAAATTCTGTGAACAGAAGCTTGCTTATGGAAACCCCAGAACATCACTGGTATACAGGCCTGCAATGCTATCAATGGTGGCCATTGCAGCTGTCTGTGTCTGCGTGGCACTGCTCTTCAAAAGCTCACCCGAAGTTCTTTATGTGTTCCAGCCCTTCAGATGGGAAATGCTCAAGTATGGCTCTAGCTAAGTTAGTTATAATAATTAGTTCCTAGAGACCCTAGGCGGGAACTGCTCTAAGTAAGTGGTTTAGCTAAGGTAATTTATACTAATTGGTTCACCGAGACATGAGCCAGGACTTTTTTTCTTCCCCACATTTTCTTTCCCTTTTTACATAAAGAAGAATGTAGAAGTCCTGCTGATTTGTATGGATTTAGATCTCAGGTGAAAAATAATGTTGTATATGTGTCAATGATAGTTGATTTTAATTTTTATACATGGAAAAGTTCAGCTACATGTTTGTGTTGTCTATACATTTTATTAGACATTGCAGCAAATGTACATAACAGTAATAGTTCTTGTGAGTTTGAGGGTGTTTTTGAAGCAAAGGCATAAGAGTGATTGAGATGCCACATTGCTGCAGTTGCTACTTGACTGTGTTGTTAGATTTAGTTTGAAGAATCCAATGATGTTAAGAAGAAGTTGGAACTCATCAATCATCATCTCCTAGAGGACCTAGACCATTACTTTGAACAAAATTACCAAACTCCAAAAAGTCAACTTGAGTCTTGAAATGAAATAAATGTGTCTGGATCATAAGGACACATGGGATTGTGTTGCTGCTCTGGGTAAACTTAATTGCTGTATAGGGACCATGAAGATTTTTATTATTTCAATAGATCTTTTTTCCATCCAAACTTTATTCAAAACGGATAAATTCTGTGTAATTGAAACCAACTAAAACTCAAGGAAAAAAAAAAATAAAAAAATTATTACCACTGTTGTGACAGGCAGTGGTATCATATAGTAAAGAACTAAAGATTTACAGACAAAATATAAATTTATAATAAGTTCAAAAATTACTTCCTGAATCCTGCTTTTTCATATATGATATAACAAACATGATGTATAATAAAGTATTCTTACAGTAACCTTACCAAGTCACTAAGCCAGTGTTATAGCAAAACCCCATCACTTGAGCAAGGGTTCATTCAGTTTTTCTCAGTCCTTGAGAGTTATTGTTTGGTGGAGATGGGCATGGCATCGATATCTCTCTCATTCTCTTCTTCACTTCTTTCCTCTCCTCTTTCTCACACTCAAGACAAGACCAAGTTCACCAAAAAAAAGTCTCAAGTTTCGAACTTTAAGTTCGTTATTCAGTGTGCATCCCTTGCACAAACCGCCAAAACTGATTCTTCTCCTAAAAAGAGGCTCTGGAAAGAAGGAGAGTACCCTGGCGTTTCTGAGACTTCAATACCTGGTTATCGCTCAAAGAAAACACCCATAAAAAATGTTAAAAAGAAACTTGACCGCAAGGCCAAAGCTAAGGCCTGGGTCAACACTGTCACTGAAACCTTATCTGATCATATTCTCAAGAAGCGGTGGTCCCAAGCCCTTGAGGTTATTTCTGTAATCTTTGCTTTCTGGGTTTTTTTTTTTTTTTTTTTTTTTTAATTCTTCATATTGTGAATAATAATGCTGCAATATATGATGCTTTGAAATTAGAATTATGGATTTATAGTAGTAGAGTTCAAAAATCTAACAGCTGGGTATTGTTGTTGCTTGTTGTGTATATTGTATAATAATTATGACGAAGTTGAATGCTTTTTTTTTGTGGTGTTTCGTGTATATTCCTTAATATTTGCTTTCTGGGCATCTCATTTTTTCAGTAATAAAGCTTCCAAATATAACACTCATAATTTGGATTTATCACCCTGTAGGCCCTTAAATATTTGCTTAAGGTAGCTTTATAATAACGTATTAAAAAAATCAACAACTCTGTAATGTTATAATTGCTTATTGTGTATAGTAGTATTGAAAAATCAGCAACTGAGCATTGTTATTATAATTGCTTGTTGTATATAATGATGGCCAAGTTGGATGCTTTTAGGTGTTTGAGATGCTAAAAGAACAACCCTTTTATGAGCCAAAAGAGGGCACTTATATGAAACTCCTTGTTCTTCTTGGAAGATCTGGGCAACCCCAGCGTGCTCATCAGCTTTTTGATGAAATGGTAGAAGAAGGAATTGAACCCACATCTGAACTTTACACTGCCTTACTTGCGGCTTATTGTCGAAACAATCTCATTGATGAGGCTTTCTCTGTTCTTAACCAAATGAAAACCCTTCCTAAATGTCAGCCGGATATTTTTACCTATAGTACTTTAATTAAGGCTTGTGTTGATGTTTTGCTTTTTGAATTAGTTGAGACTTTATATGAAGAAATGAATGAAAGAGGGATAACTCCAAACACAGTCACCCAAAACATTGTGTTAAGTGGATATGGTAAGGCAGGGAAGTTCGATCAAATGGAGATAGTGTTGTCAGGGATGTTAGAGAGCACAACATGCAAGCCTGATGTTTGGACAATGAATACTGTTATTAGTGTATTTGCTAACAAGGGTCAGGTTGATATGATGGAACGTTGGTATGAAAAGTTTCGTAATTTTGGTATTGAGCCAGAAACAAGGACCTTTAACATATTGATTGGTGCTTATGGGAAGAAACGGATGTATGATAAAATGTCATCTGTGATGGAATACATGCGCAAGCTTCAATTTCCATGGACAACCTCAACTTATAACAATGTGATTGAGGCTTTTGCAGATGTAGGGGATGCAAAACACATGGAATACACATTTGAACAGATGCGTGCTGAGGGTATGAGAACAGATACCAAGACATTTTGTTGTCTAATTAATGGATATGCTAATGCAGGTCTATTCCACAAGGTTATTAGCAGTGTTAGGTTGGCTGCAAAGTTTGAGATACCTGAGAATACATCATTTTGTAATGCAGTCATATCCGCTTGTGCAAAGGCTGAGGATTTGATGGAGATGGAGAGAGTTTTTAAGCGGATGAAAGAGAAGCAAACTCAACCAGATTCTAGAACATTTGATATCATGATGGAGGCATATGCAAAGGTAGGTATGAATGACAAGGTATATGATCTAGAACAGGAGAGACTGAGGATGCTTGCTGAGGCTCCTAAAAACGATTAAGCTACTGAAATGAAGTGTGCGTTGATTTCTGATTGAGAACCTGAGGCAACTAGAAGTGTTATGATTGTCCAAGTTTCATGTGTGACAGACTAGGCTATATCAGCGAAATTACTGATTGAGCAAGCAATTAAAGCTTTTTATTTAAGAAAAGACTGCAATTACTCCTTCTCTATCCTCATGTTTGGTGCAACACTGCTGTAACAGTCCATTGGATATCTCCATTGTTCCACTGAAAACTATTTGGCTATCTTAATTGTGTACAGATTTGATGTAGCAATAGAATTGATGATTGCGTTTCTGTAAACTTGAAGAGATTTTTCTTTTTTTTTTTCGGTTACTTTTCTTTCTGTAATGTGATATTCCAAATAGTGTCAGCATCACATTTCCTGCCTTCTTTCTTTCTACTACGAGGACCTTATGGACGAAGTATATACAATTCATTGTGGTCTGATTCATATTCTTATTTGGCTTGCTTTCCTCCTAAGAAAATCTAAAATTATGCTAAAAGCTTATGCCTGAATTGGTTTGCTATTAGCAGCCGTTTGACAAATCTCAAAAGCAGGAAACCGGGAAAAGAATACTATTGAAATCCCAAGAAAGAAATTGTTGGTGGCAACAGAACAAACCTGAATTGGTATTACACAGTTGCACACTGCTAAAGTGCTAAGCTGAAAGGTCTTACTCTTATCTTTGCTGAGAAATCATCTGATGGTGCAATCAGGCCCCTTTGTTTTGTATATTGTGACTCATAAAATAATCAGAAAATTTAGTAAAATATCTTATGGCTTATGCTACTCAAATCATTTTTTTCTTTTATTTATGCCCGTCATGGGTGATGAGACCAACTCAATCAATGAATGGTTATGGCCTAAAATTGTTCAGTTTCCTTAAATGTGTTCATAATGCATTGCTGGGATAACGTGATCTTTATTATTTAATTGTCATCATAGGGAGTGGAAAAGTCCACCCCAACTTCACCCCACTAAAATATTCAGGAAGTGGCAAAGTAATTCTTACTTCAGCTCAACTGAATGAACCTTGAAACTCTGGCGTTTAAATGGATGATATTCTTCCGTTTCTTCTATAAGCTGACGAAGCAATGTAAAAGGGATCAAACATGATGTAACGTTATAACAGAAGAATAATATTTCATTTCCAGTTGAAATATAATGCGAGTAAACAACCATACGCCGCCATGGATCAGCTTACCCACTTTCATTATCATACATATCTTCCATCATTTCATACCCAAGCAGTGACTCAAACTTACAATTTGTTCTTCTTCTCTCTTTAGCCCTTCAGTTTATGCAACAATAGTAATGGCTCAGCTGGCAGGTCCTGATGAAATAGAGTCTCTCAGGATTGAGTTAGCGGAGATTGGAAGAAGCTTAAGGTTATCATTTAGAAGTTTCACTTCAAGTTTTCGTAGTATTACTGATGTGAACTATGCTCCAGATGATGGTGAAGAGGATGAGGAGGAGGGTGGTGAAAATGAGATGCAATGGGCTGCTCTTCAGAGATTACCAACTTTTGAACGGATTAACACGGCTTTGTTTGATGAAAAAGAGGGAGATGCCACCGGGAAACGTGTTGTTAATATTACCAAACTTGGACCACAGGAGCGTCATATGTTCATTGACAAGCTCATCAAACATATTGACAATGATAACCTCCGATTGTTGCACAGAATTCGAAAGAGAATTGACAAGTAATTACCTTCCTTTCTAAAATGCATAGCATTCTGCCATTTTAACTTCACTGATAATACATGAAATAGCTGGTGTTTGTCTGTCAATATATTTTTACTATTCAAATTTCCATATCTCATTAATTAAACTGATTTGTTATTGGTTATGCTTTTTAGAGTGGGAGTACAGTTGCCCACTGTGGAAGTGAGATATAAGAATCTTAATGTTGAGGCAGAGTGTGAGGTCGTTCATGGCAAGCCTCTCCCCACTCTTTGGAACGCCACCAAGAGCATGCTTCATGTATGTATCTGTGTATTCACTAACTTTTCTTTCACACCATCGATTTAGCAGCAGAGGAGCATTTCTAAAATGTGCTTCACAATCCTTAAAATGGAGTGATCTTGTGGGTTCTTATGCTGAAGATCCTGAAAGCAAAATATCTTTTTGTTTTTATTTTTTGGGGCAGTGGTCGTTGTTGGTAATTTGCATGACCTTTGTGTTTGTGACAGGGGATTACTAATCTGTAGGGTTCAAAACAAGAAGCAAAGCTGAGAATCTTAGAAGATATCAGTGGCATCATTAAGCCTGGAAGGTAAACTCTTGAAA